TGACAGAGAATTTACAATAAACATGATTAATATGTCAAAGACTTTAGGGAAAGATGAAAACTATTCAAGACCAGATAGGTAATATCAACAAAAAAAAATGAGAACTGTGGGAATCAAACTGAAAAGCTAGAAATGAAAAACAGTGACAGATGTAAAGAATGCCTTTCAGTGGCTTGTGAGATACTTCAACAAAGTGAAGAAAAGAATCAGTGGACTTACTATGTCATAAAAATATCTCAATTACTAGAAGCTGAAAGTACAGCAGAAAAAATAATGGGAGTATGCGTGAGGGAGGAAACAAAGCATCCAAGATATGTAGACAACATGAGGGCTGGAGATGTAGCTCAGAGGTAGAGCATTTGTGTAGCATGTGTAAAGCCTTGGGTCATTCACCAGCACAACAGAACAGAACTAGAGTTGTTGGATAACATAAAATAACCCAACATGTGGAATTCATGAGTCTATGGACAGAAGAAATACTTGAAGACATAATGACCAGGGATTTCCCAAAATCCACAGTAGACATCAAGAAACTTATAGAAGGAAATAGCAAAACACATCCAGATATATCATATTCAAACTGCTAAAAATAAAGGACAGAAAATATTAAAGGCAGACAGAAGGGAAAATATATTATGTAGAAGAACAAAAAAATACAGCAGCGTTTTGACTTACGTGGTTTCTGAAGAGAAGATAATGGATTTCCAGTGTTCAAAAAAAATACCCCTCTCAATCCAGATTTTAATAGCTTACAAATACCTTTTAAGAGAAATAAACATTTTCTCAAAGAAAGAAATACTAAAAGAATCTACAGATAGAAGATCAGCACTGTAAAACACATTTTACAAACTTGTTTAATTAAAAGGAAGAATATATCAGACTGAAACATGGATGCATACAAAGTAATAAGGAGTGCTGAAATAGAATAACTGAAGGGAAAATAAATTTCATGTAAAAATTAATTTTTATGAAAGATAACTAAAAGCAAAATTACCATACAGTAAAAAATGTATGACAACAATAGCACAAAGGAAGGGGGCAGAACTGAGAATAAACTGCTTTAAGGACTTAAATCTAAAATTTATTAGTTATAATTAAAAATTTATTATTTGAAGGAAAGCTCTGACTGAAGATATGTATTGTAAAATCTAGAGCAGTGACCTTGAGCAACCTACAGCAAACCTTTTAGAGACAAGTGCCCAAACTGCAATTCCAAACCCACTTATTTATTGCACAGAGCCAACACTGTAATTAAACCTGAATACTGAGATTTTAGTTTAGAAAAAACACCTCATACATTAACATCTTTTATCTTAAAAAAACAACAAAAAGAACCCCCAAATAACACACATGCCCTAGGTTCACCATCTCTGACCCTGAGAAACCACTAAAAAATTTCTCAAAAGAAACATAAAAAACTCAGCTGTGAAGATAAAATGAAACCAAAATAAATGCCCAATAAAGAGCGAGGTTATACATATTAATCCAAGTGGAATCACAAAGTATGGACTGAGCATGACAGCTAAAAGAAACTGTGAGACAAGACATTTTCAGTTTTACTAAAATACAGTTCATATATAAAATTCACCCACTTTAAGTGTACACATAGTTTGGTAGTTTTTAGTATGTTCAGAGTTTTTAAAAAATCATGTTAGATGACAGGGGTTATCACAATCCACAACTTGAAACTATACTACAAAGCCACTGTGATAAAAACAGCATGGTTCTGGCAAAGAAACAGACCCAAGGATCAGTGGAATAGAATAGAAGATGCAGAAAACAACTACAGACATACTCATCCACCTTACCTTTGACAAAGGAGCCAATCATCCTCACTGGAGGAAAGATAGCCTATTTAATAAATGGTATTGGAAAAACTGGATTTCAACCTGCCATATCTACCACCATGCACTAAACTAAAATTGAAGTAGATTAAAGATCTAAATATTAAAATAGAAACACTAAACTTGCTGGAAGATAAGTTAGGTAGAACTCTTGAAGACACTGGCATAGGAAAAGACTTTATGAACAAAACCTCAGTAGCACAGGAACTAGCACAAAGAATCAACAACTGGGATCTCAACTTATTA